GAGACCTGTCTGTAAATTATTGTTGTGGTGAAAAAAAAAAGAAAAAAAAAGAGACCTGTCTGCAACAGCCATCTGTGGGTACTATGGCGGGATGCTCGTATCACCCTCCCTAGTAGTACCACGGGCAGATGTTTGAAAAAAAGAAAAAGAAAAATACAAGAGAGATCTGGTGAATGTGTTTTTCGCCGTCCCTTTGAATTTTGCTCATCTGATCCCAACTGGATTTGAGCTCAGGTGTGTATTTCAACAGTTATGGGTGTACTACCAACTGAGCTGGGCTAGTTGGTACTTCTTGCACAAATGAGACAAGAAAGGCGACTTTTGCAATAATTGCTGGTACAGCACCCTTCTGCTAACATACCGGATTGTAGGAGTATGTCCATTGCATAGCACTTCACATGCAATGCCGTTTGCATGCTTTCTGTACCTGATGCAATCAAAATGCATAACACTCCACAGGCAGTTGGATGGTTTGTGGACCTGATAAATTCCGGATGCTGGCCTCATCTGAATGCACATGGTCCAGAACATGTCCAAATGCATGTAGAGTGTTGTGTGGTGAAGTGAGGGCCTTTATGGCTTTCAGATGCATGCATTCTTGTGACTACTTCGGTACAATGGCTTTGCTTCCATCCAACCCCACTCATAGGTGGGTTGATTTTGATTTCCTTCCTTTCCCTGAAATTCTCTCTATGTCTAGTTTGAATCCTCTTTTGATTTTTTTTTATTTTTATTTTTTTGATTTCTATGGAGCCCTACTGGTTCAACATGTCCCAACTGCCTTTCAGTTTTTCTTTTGCTGATGTGACAAAATTTATTTTTAATTTTTTTTTCCAGCGATTTGGGTCAGATTTTGGATGCATCACAGACGCGGCACCTTTAAAGGTATTAGCATATGCTCATTGGAGGATGATAAAACCGCAACATGGTCAGTTCACTCATTGGAGGATGATCAAATCAAAACGCCCTTCGAAGCTGAAGTTCGTCACGCACACAAAATATTTCACTTTCCAGGTCGTATCTGAATAACAAGCAGCTATTGTGTTGTTTTTTTTTTTCCTTTCTTTCTTTGCGCAGGGGCAATGCTAATCTTCTCTGTATCGTTCCAATTTTAACGGATGTCCCTAAGGACACAAGCAGCTACTGTTTTTGGTTTCGCATCAACAGCCATTTCGTTAAAACAAACTTTTTTTTTTTTTTTTTTTGAACGACATTGGAACCTATTTAAACCTATTTATTTGGGCTGTCGGGATGATTGTACCCGGTTCGGTCGGCATGTGAAACCCCTGAGCCAAGTAAGCTCAGGGACCATTTGACCGGAGTTGAGTTGGGGTACACCGGGTCATCGTGGTATGTGTTGTAGTAACCAAGCTGGGCTGGGCTGAAATTCGCATGTGTGGCTTTCAAGGCCGGAAGTTTTTTTTTTTTCACGTGGCTACAGGAGTTTTATCCTGAACGGTTTGGGACAGCTAGGAAACAATGTATATCTGGCGGTTCAGGATGGACTTAAACCACCAGTACTTGGCCCAGCTATCGACAGTGGAAAAATATAGAGTAGATGTGACGCTTCCGATACAAACCTCACGCCCCGAGCTGTCTTCCGTTCGGAGTGATAAAATGTGGAAAGGAGGCCCCGAAAAACAGCAAGATGGGGTGTGACAAGGATTTTTGGAAATTTGAGTGTGGAGACCCCGACAGAACAGGAATTCCCCGTGTGGTCCCAGTTTTAGCAAGAAATTGCCATCGCCACGCGGGAAAGGACAGGCGCGCAGGACCTTCAAGCGTTCGTCTAATCCAAAAAGTATCTCTGAACTTGCATGTGGGCTACTCGACGTCTTTTTGAGCGGAAAGGCAGGGGAACGCACATGGGATCTCGTTTTTGAATTAAGTCCTGACATCACTCGCAGCAGAGCTCGGAATCCGACGTGGAAGGCCGCAGTCTGGTTGCTCTTTCCTTATACTTGTCCTCGCCACGTGTCCGGTAGTGGAAACCCCTTTCCCAATAACGCTCGTCGCTCCGTGCGGCGGCAGTCGCTGCAGAGAGTATTAGGCCAATGTGGGGCCACTGCCGCCCACGGGATGACGATCAATTGGTTGAAGGGTAATAGCAAAGAATAAGGCGGAAAGTGAGTGTCAACAATCACAAATCCAGCACCTACAAACCTTGAACACCTCGTTTCGGGAGAAAAATAATATCGGCATCCAATCTTTGCGACGGCTTCTCGTACGTCCCACTCACATAAACGTGACCTTTCCTCGTTATACGGGAACAGGCGGTGCTGGGATACGGGAAGTCTGCGCCTAGTTGAGTCGGTATAGTTGGCCAACATGGCATAAGTGCGTTGATAGCGCTTGTCTATTCAATCCGTCATTTGGCCGAAAATGCAAGTATCAGCATTTTATGGAGGGAAAGAAATAAATCCAAAGAAATCCTACATAAACAGAAAATAACACCAGGTTCTCTATCTCGAGGTCGTGGCATACGCTAGCTAGAGGCGTGAGTCCATCCAATTCTATCCTAATAAAAAATGCAGCTATCTAGCATTCATTCAAGGGAGGGAGGAAACAAGAATAAACCTTGCATGAAAATCAAATGCATAAAAGTCTTAGTTTGTCCACGTCATCAAAACAACAATTCAACCATATAAGGAAGTGCTTCTCTCCCAACTGGTTTCTACGCTCAGATGAGTTCACCCGGTGAAACTCCGATTGTCCGAAATAGGCGGGGGCAGGAGCTCATAAACACATCGATCATTGCCATGAACACATGCCATTCGTCACACAAAGGATTGAAAAGGGCGAAAGATACGGGGACCCAGTTGTGACTCAGACGTAGACCAATCGTTCATATATATATATATATATAGAGAGAGATATATATCGTCACAAACAGAACTGCCCGGTAAACCGTAGGCAGAGAGAGAGAAGAGGACAACAAACGAGGGGCTGTGACAAACTGTTTCGTCGGAGTTTCACCGAGTGACTCATCAGGAGGCTGAACCCTCAACAGTCTGCAGAATCCCCTCACTGATTACACTGTAAATGATAATCTACCTTAACCAAAA